AGCAGTCGGACCTGGTGCTGCAGTTGAAGTCGGACTTTGAGGTGCTGTCGGTGCCAGTGCAGCTGCAGCCGCACCGTGTGGCGGTCGTTGGCAGCAGCGCAGGTGCAGCTACGCTGCTTGCAGCGCTGCTCTCGCAGTCAGGGGCAATGCAGCAGCACCACCAGCGGCAGGCAGCCGCAGCAGCTGGGCGGGCGACGGCAGCAGCAGGCAGCGGTGCGGCTGCTGGTGCTGTAGCAGGGGGCAGGGCTGCAGCGCTGCAGCGGTGGCTGCCGCAGCCACAGCGGTGGATCCCGGCTGCACGGCGGCAGCAGCAGCAGCAAGGTGCCAGCTACCAGGCACCGCAGCAAAGCACTGAGCAGCAGCAGCAGCAGCAGCAGCCACAGCCGCAGCCGGTGCAGAAGCTGAAGGCGGCCGCGTCTCTTGCTGCTGCAGCAGGGGCCAATGTTGCTGCCAGCAGGCTGGGCACGCTGTCACGGCAGTTGCTGGGCAGGCGCGGCTCAGTGCCCGGCCTGGGTCCGGAGGAGGAGCCCCTGCCGAAGCAGATGCGTACTGCTGCTGCAGCAGCAGCTGCAAGCAGCGGCAGCAGCAGCAGTATGGGGAGCTGTGAGGAGGGCGCGGGGTATGCGCCTGCTCCCATGCTGCTGAGGACGGCGCGCGACAGCCGTCCAGGTGCCTCTGCTGCTGGCGGCAATGGCAGTGGCTGGTTGGCGTCTGCCGCAGCTGTGCCCACCGCACCAGCAGCTACTTCTCTCCAGGACAGCGCACAGCAGCGGGAGCAGGGCACCGCTGCCGTCGTGTCAGGCACCTCGCAAAGCACTGTTCACGGTGCCAGGCAGGCCAACAGCAGCATCACTGCCAGTCATGTGCAGGGCTCGCAGCAACAGCCAGCCACTGCTCAGCTGCAACGGCCAGCAAGCCGCATGTTGCTGGACAGGGGCTTTGCCGGCTGGGGCAGCAGTTGGAGGGCTGGCAGCAGCACAGCCAGGAGCACTGGCGGCAGCATCAGATCTGCAGCAGGGCTGCAGGGAGTCGTGTACTGCACCCTGCCTTTGAAGCGGTCGCTGCTGCCGGTCCCTCCCAGCTTGCCTCGCCCCATCAACAGCACACTGCAGCAGCACACCTTGGCACGCGTGCTGAAGCGGGCTACCCAGCAGCTGCAGCAGCAGGCAAAGGGCCAGGGTTGCGGTGCAGGGCCTGGGGTGCTTGACGGCGCAGGGCTGATGCAGAGAGCTGCCAGGCTGGCAGCAGGTGCTGCTGCAGGCCCTGCTGCTGTTGCGGGCAAGGCGTGGACAGCTGTGTTTGGCAGCAGCCACAGCAAGGATAGCGACACCACAGCCTCATACAGCAGTGGACAGGCAACCGCCGAATGGCGCGGCAGAGGCAGTGACGGCATCGGCACGCGTGGTCGTGTCCGCAAGCCAGCGGCAGCTGCGAGAAAGGCAGCGTACCCGCAGCAGCAGCTGCAGCAGCATGGAGTCCGGCCTTCTGTCGGGACTGCTGCTGTGTCAGCTGGGTCAGTAGTGCATACAGCGGGAAAGCCCCCATCGTCACCAGCAGGTGCAGCAGCAGGGAAACGCCTGAAGAACCGCCCACAGCAGCGGCAGCCATGGGACGTGCTGGTGCTGGCCATCACATGGGACGCCGACCTGCTGCAGCTGCTGAGGCACCGTGCCGCACTGGCTGCGCTGGCTGCTGCTGCAGCAGCTGCTGGTGTGCAGCTGCTGCCTGTGCTGTTGGTGGAAGGGGACGAGGTGCTGCTGAGTGTGCCTGCTGCCGACCTGCGAGCAGCAGGCCTGCAGCATCTGGCTGCACAGCAGCAGCAGCAGCAGCAGGGTGTGCTGGACATAGAGGATGCTGCAGCACAGCTTGCGGCTGCGCTGCACCTGCCGTCGGTGCCGCTGCTGCGGCTGCCTGTTCAGGGCCTGCTCAGCAACAGCAGAGTCAGCAGCAGCGGCACTGCTGATGCAGGTGCGCTGCTGGGCGGTGTGGGTGGCCTGGAGCAGCAGCAGCAGCTGTTGGTCGCTGTGCAAAGGCTTGAGGGCCAGCTGGCTGGGCTGCTGCAGGTGAGGCACAGCAGGGGCATGGGGCTCAGGCCCCAGCCCAGGCTGTGATGAGCCTCGCTGCCCAGACTCACTGAAGAAAGTGTGCTGCGCGCAACCGCTGCAGCGCATGTGGTGACCTGTGGAACCCCAGGTACTGCATCTGTTCGTCCGCAGCATACTTGCGTAGCCTGTGGGCAGACGGCAGGTCTGCTCCGAGGATGGTGTCACAGGGCCCCATTGGCGGGGCTGCTGCTGGCGTGGCACGGCAGCTCGTTGAGCGCCAGGCCTTGGCGCAGGCTGTGATGCAGGTTCCGGGGCGGCTGGCAGTGTGTGGTGTGGTTGGAGGTGTTGATGCTGCTTGGCTTGTGCAGCTAGTCAGCAGCATGTGTGCAGCTCAGGAGAGGGTGAAGCCGTGGCAGCACAAGAGCAGAGCATGTGTGGGTGTGGGAAGGAGGGGGCGTGTGGCCAAGGGAGCAGGTGGGACTGGTGATGCGCTGTTTTTGTGCCATGCATCAGCAGTAGCATTGGCAGTGCAGTGTTCTGCATCTGGTTTTGCATCCCCTCCTTTGCTGTGTCGTGCGTCGCGGCAAGCAAGCCAGTGCCACTGACATAGTGCGTGGTACGGCGTGCAAATGCTGCTTTATGATGTAGCCACACTCTGCTGCAGCTGCTGCTGCTCAGGGTGAGGTGCAGCTCATCGCGTGCATAGACAGTGCTGGTTGAAGTTAGTGCGCCTGCGTGATGTTGGTGCTGGTTGTTTTTAGATGGAACGCTGTTGTCTCAAAGCAAGGTGGTTGTTGCGGCGGATTTGTTTTATGCTCACATGAGAGTGGTGGAGCGTAAACTGGAAGCGGATAGCATCTGCTGTGTCTGCTGCACGGTGCGGGAGTGTTATGTGCGCGTGCAAGAGCGGATGTGTGCCCTGCTACTTGTTGTGACAGCTTGTCCCACCTGTCATGCCTTGTTGTTTCTTTCTGTTTGCTGGAGCGGCTGCCACTTGTGTGCCAGCCTCTGCCTGTCAGTGTGTGCTGACACAGCGTGTGCGCCCAGCAGTGCAGTAGCTTGGTTGCAACCGCACAGACACGTGTTTGTGTGCCATGTTCCCAATGGCCAGGCCCACCTGCAAGCATTGCAGTGGCGGCTTGCATAACCTCGCGGTGCTGCGCCTTGCAGGAAAGAGAGCCGCCAGCCATTCTCACACCAGAGTGCACTGATCTGTATCTAGGAGGTCTCATCGTTCTGCAGCTCAAGCATTGCTGGGTGACGGGATGCCAATGTCATGAGTGGTACGTGGGATTTATCAAACTAGGCAGTGAGTGAGGGGAGAGATGCACGGGCGACCTTATGCCCCGGGGCCCACGTTACGCATGCGGAGCGGCACCTGGCTAGGAATTTGGTGGGCTTGTAACGGCTGCTTCACTAGCAGCAGCTTTGCTAGCTATAAGATGTTGTGAGGGGGTGAGGCTCTAGCACGCAGCACAGTGGGCGTGTCCCACGCCCACCATGACTGCGGCTGCATGTTGCTGCCTAGGTAGGCGGCTGTTGCAGCCGTCAGCGGCCGGCTCAACCGGCAGCAGCTTGCCGTCAACTTGAAGCGCTTCAGCTTCCCAGACCAGGCTGTGCAGGCCATGCGGCAGGGGCTGACACTGCTGCCCCCGCCGACCTGCGCCATGCCCATGGCGTGCCGTGTCTTCGTCTGATCCTTGCCAAGGATGCTGTGCATCATTGTTGGATAAAAAGCTGCGATTGTTGTTTATTGCAATCGATGCTTGAGCAGCTGCTCTTGCTCCATTGCTTTAATAGGCAGTCACATTTAGTGCATTCCTTGGTGGCACACTTGTATTTAGGAAGGCGTGGACGGTTGCCATACAAGTAGAGTAAAAATGGCATGTGAAAGGGCGACATACCTGATGCACTGGTCGGTCTGCACTGCCTTGAGGAGTCTGATATGCGCTGTGTGCATGAGGCTTTTCAGTCTTGGTTGTATCAGCAGTGGCATGATTTACCCACCGATCCCAGAGTTGCTGGTTTTGATACTGTCATGCATTCTACGAACGAGAGCTGGTTTGCATGCACATCATTTGATGAGCTGGACATGACAAAGCCGTCTCGCTGGTGTCCAGATTATGTGCACAACACTGCTGGCCTCAACGAAGTACACCTGTCGTCACTGATGCGTTTTTGTCTGGGTGCACATGACTTGCGCGTGGCTACTGGTCGGTGGGAGAGGGCTGGCAACTCCTTGCTACCTAGACATCAGCGGCTTTGCACCCGATGCGCTGCTGGCCAGGTTGAGGATGAGTTCCACGTGGTATTTGAGTGTGATGCTTACGAGCTAGTCCGGGAGCGTTTTTGGTGTCTGTTTGATGAGTTCGGTGGTTGGCAGAACCCAGATGCCTTAGCAAACCCGCGCAAGCGATGTCTGGCAGACTTTATGCGGCAAAGACAGAGTAGGGTTGCTGCTTTCATCCACAGTTGCTTACTGGTACGTAACGATCCAGAGTTGGCACATCTGTTGCTTCCAAGTGATGGCATTACTAGTAGTGCTTCTGAAGTTACTGATTCTCTGAGTTCTGAGCTCTCTGAGCTTGTTGAGGTTGCGGTCTCTTTCGGTTGATGGTCTTCTTTTGAGTTTTGTGGACCCCATGAGCCTTGTTTGGCTTCTTTGCGGGTGGGCCAGTGGCCCTACTTTGGTAATTCGGTAATTCGAAAGGTTACAGCCTGCAGGCATGCAAAGGAGTGCGCACAGCCTACCACTGGTGCAATAAGCAGCAGCAATAAGCAGCAGCACTTCAACCCAAAAGCGAAGCAGAGTCAACCGGCCTCCCTCATGCAGAGCTGCATTGCAGTGTGGGCAATGCTGGCTCTACCCACTATTATGCTCCGCTGGATGCACTGTTGAGCACGTTGAAAGCACCAGAGTCCAGTGAAGTTGCTGTGGGGGATTGGTGTGCACACGTGTGGATGAGTTTGGTGGTAGAACTCCAGCATGGTATGCTGGAGACCCGGGTTCAAATCCCGGTCCAACCGCCCGTGGCTGGGCTAAAAAAGCAACTGGAATTGACGGATTTGTGCGGGTGGTTTCGATCGCCCAAACAATGAAGAAGAAACTGGGTACAATTACAAGAAACGCTCATGAGCGGAACAACGGCTCGCTGGGCTAGTGCCTGAGGCAGGTTCAGTCCTGTACCACTGTATTGTATTGTATTGGATGTGGGGCTGATATCCCTCCCCCCCCACACACACATGCAGGCTCTGCTGCAGTGCGTGCATCCACTAGAAACTTTGTATGTCGGACATGCGACGCTGAACGCACAGTAGACATGTACGAAATCGATAGAGGTGTTGTGTGCTTGCATGTGGGCGGGAGGGGACGGACGAGGAGGATGACCACAACTGCAGGTGAGCACCACGTTCCTGCTGTTTTGGTTTCATCATCATCATAATACCCATTCAAATACCAAATACCAAATACCAAAGTAGGGCCACAGGCCCACCCACTAAGGAGCCAAACAAGGCTCATGGGGTCCCACAACAGCCAAGGAGTACATACCAATCCAACCAACTAATCCGAGGCCTCAACAAGTTCTGAGGATTCTGTCTCTGAGGCACTAGTGTCACTTGGGAGCATAGCAAGCGCCATAGCCGGATCATTTCTAACAAGAAGACAATAGTAGATAAAAGCAGCCACACTACTCTGCCTCTGCTGCATAAAGTCAGCCAAACACCGTCCAAGAGGGCTCACAGCTAGGCTCTGCCACCCTCCAAAATCAACAAACAGCCGCCAGAAGCGATCGCGAACAACCTGATATGCGTCACACTCAAACACAAAGTGAAACTCATCCTCAACTTGGCCAGCACCGCACCGAGAGCACAGTCGCTGTGGCCTGGGTAGCATAGAGTTATCAGCCCTCTCCCACCGACCAGTAGCCACACGCAAGTCATGCGCACCCAGACAAAAACGCATCAAAGATGACAGGTGCATCTTGTTTAAGCCAGCTGTGTTGTGCACATAATCTGGGCACCAACTCAATGGTTTTGTCAAATCAAGCTCATCAAAAGGGGAGCACGCAAACCAGTTCTCATAGGTAGAGTGCATGACAGTATCAGACCCAGCTACTCTGGGGTTGGCTGGCAAGTCCTGCCACTGCTGGTACAACCATGCTTGGAAAGCACTCTGTACTTTGCTCAAATCAGAGGCATCAAGGCAATGCAAGCCAACCATTGAGTCAGGAATGTCTGCTAGCGTTCCTGTATGGGTATGTAGCGTACGCACAAAAGCCCGAAACTGCCAAAACCACAGCGACCTCTGCCTGCCCTGCTCAACACCATAGTTGCACTGAACGTTTCAGTTGAAACAAAACGTTTCGTTTCTAAACGCGTTTTTAACGCCAGTGCCTTGGCTGAAACGCTGCTGAAACACCACATCAGTATGCACTGTGGAGGCCTGTAGTGGCCCAGTACACCAATTCCTTTCATTGTAAGTGATTACATATTCTTAGTAGTATTTTTTTTATAAGCGGTGAATGACCCCAGAACGGTGCCTGCGGGCTGGGAGGGCTGCCAAGGCATGGCAGCAGGCTTGACTAGTTGACAGCAGTACTGCTCCAGCCTTGATCATGCATTGGCGATGCGTAGCACGAAAGCTCTTCACAAAAGCACGCTGGCATCAACCTCCTCCTCACGCTTCCGCTTTGCGTTCTTAGAGGCATCACTGGAAGCCTTGGCGGTTGACAGGCGAGTCTTGATGTCCTCTGGGCACTCGCTGCAGGCCTTCACACCCTGGTTGGCGCCAAGCAAGTGCGAAACGATCCTGTTGACCCCACCGCTGAAGGAATGATTTCAATGATGGCACAAAACTTTGCTGTAGTTCTGTTTTGCTTCTAGCTTGTCGACATTGTCCCAGGCTATGCTAGCCTGATCAGTGACCTTTTTGCCCATAGCGGTGAGTGATCGGACAGCAAGAAGACAATCCAAAAGCATTAGTTGTATGCAGTAAATGTTTCGAGGAGCTCTAAGTGCTTGAACGGGCCGCCAGGCCGAGTAACAAGGGGTCTTGTATTTAAACGCCTGAGCCCACTGCAGCTGCCGTTTAAAAGTAGCGTTTCACACTGACAGCGTTTAAAACGCACGTTTCAAACGTTTCGTTTCGTGTCATAAACTGCCTGACCACGCGTTTAGTGCAACTATGCTCAACACTGCTGGTGTAAGCCCTCAAACTCAAATCCCTGTTCTCCTGCATAGCAAGAAACAACCAGTCATTGGGGGGCCGTGCAACCACTCGGTGCCACAGGTCCCAGCAAGCTGTGAACCATCCAGTGACTAATGGTCGGCACCCAAACTCACGCAGTACAAGCTGCCTGCATGTTGATTTGCGCACACGACCAGCCAGCATGCGCAAGAACATTAATCGCACCACCTGCATGTCATTGCTGAGAGCCTTGCCAACACCCGGCGGCCCACTGCCGCAGCCATGTAGCAGTGCAGGGCCCCACACTTCAGAGCAGTAGCCCAAGATGGGGGACACGAGTGAGTTGAACAGATGCACCTGCAGACCAAGGCCGGAGATGTTGTGATCAGAGCAGCATGAGCGCATCGCCCACATTGCCCGAGATCCAGCAGCTGCAAGGGACGAGACACACGCTGCAACACCCTCAGTCTCATGAAACACACACCACGAAACTCGCTGCTTCTGGGCACTGGCGCACGCACACCATCCCTGTTGAGGAAAGTCCAATGCCCATGTCCCTGGTAGCGCTGGTCGCCAAACACCACTAATTCTGTTTTGCCAATATTCACTTCCATGTCAAAATGAGAGCAAAAAGCACTCAGAGCATCTAGCAGCTGCTGCAGCTCCTCCTGGCTGCTGGATAGTAGGGCCAAGTCATCCGCATACAGCAGTAGCCTGATCAATCGCCCACCCAGCTGCACACCACACTCACTGGCATGCCTCCAGCCATTGCTCCACGCGATCGAAGAAAATGCCAAACAGAAGAGGTGACAGGGGGTCGCCCTGCTTCACTCCCCTGGTGCTAGCACAGCGCTGTCGAAGGGCTGGCCTACAGTCTGCCCAGATTTCGTAATCATGGGGGCACGCCAATACATTGTAACGATCGCACGCAACATGTTATCGCGTACACCGATCTTACTCAAACACTTCAATTCAAGCCATAGCATCAGCGCCATCGGCCCCGCGCCCCACCGGGGCGGAAAGAGGAGGGAGCACTGCTCCAGAATGTTTGTATGCATTGCGCACATCCTAAGACTTGAAAAGAAAAGCAGCAATACACGGTGACACCATCCGACATCTTCCAGAACTGCCCCAAATATCATCAGATACAAAACGCAACACCTTGATTGACGAATCAGCCATGGACAAAACGCTGCGCAACTTTTCAGCGCAACCAGGCAGGGATCTGATCTCAGCAAACATACTATCCCTCTGAGCAGAAGTAGCAGGGCAATTAAACATGAAGTGTGACAAAGACTCATCTTCTGCACCACAACAAGGACATCCTGAAGTGGAGTTAGCTCTGCGACCGCCAAACTGACTAGTACGCTCATGTACACACAGACAACCCATACGAACACGCAAAAGCAATACAAGACCACGTGGAATTGCCACTGAACGCAAGTAGCGGCCTAGGCCTCCTGAAATCCATAACATCAACATGAGTGGGATGCACATGAGCCACATACCAACTCAGGGTGGAGTGTTCCAACGTTTCACATGCAATCCTTTCAGCATGTAGCGTCCTGTCCTGCTTGTTGACATGGCTCTTGCACGCACTGGCTCTGCCTTCCGCGGTCACAACATTCACACCATACTTGCACAGCAGGCTCTGTACATACTTGTGCCACGGTGTCTGCTGTTTTGGTTTGTTGGGTGAACGAGGCTTGTGTTGCTATGGGGTGAGCCTGCTACTTTCCAGGCTCAGGATGAATGCAGAGAACTTCAATCAGACGAGACAGCAGCAGTAGCAGCAGCAGCTTGGGCGTGTTACAGGACAGCAGCAGAAGCAGCAGCAGCAGCAGCCAGTGTCCTGCAGTGTACACAGTTATGGCAGCAACTGCTTCCATGCCAGCATCACATGGATGTTGGTCCCAACATTCGTGTTTTTCCAGCAACTACAGCAGGAGCAGCAGCAGCAGCAGCAGCTACAGCAGCAGCAGAACAGTTGTAATGAACAACACCATTTCAACATGTGCTATGCTAGTACAGCAGTAGGGAGCACCTGGCTAGCAGAGTGCCCACTGCGTATGCAAAGTCACATTTGTTGTTGCTTACTTCAATCATCAACATCTGATTGTGTGTACATGCTGCTGCTGCGTTTTGCTGCGAGTGTTATTGCCATGACGGGCTCTGACATGGGGTCTACTGGAGACTACTTCAAGGTGGTGCGCAGGTGTCACGGGTGCCTCCCCGCCCGGGGTGTGCACTCGTTAACACTTCTGCCCATTCAGTTCTCTGCGCTACAGGTATGTTTGGAAATTGAGGCCTTGCTGCAGGAATGCGTGCCTGCATGGCAGCCCACTCGGAGCAGCAGGAGAACTTGGGCCGGGGTCTCCTGGTCCAGCATTGCTTGAGGTACGCAGTTGTGCATTTACCTGGAGCCCAGGAGCCGTTTAAAACTCGTTCTATTACATGTAGTAAGCACCAGTCCAAGCAAGGAGCTTCAGGGACACTAGGCTCTCAAGTGCAAAGGAACACGTAAGGTTGATGGCTGCTAATGCACGTACTCATCCCCCGTGTGATGCAAAATCAAGCAGAAGTTCAGCGGACAAGCACAGTGTGAGGTGGGCTGCGAGCCATAGCAGCAGTGCTAGTTGCACCCCACCGGCTTGCTGCTGTTCTTGAAGTCCAGCTGAAGACGCTGCCCATAAGAAACCTGCAAGCGACAACCTGTAGCAGGCCTGCTAGGGTTTACGGTTTAAGGTCGGCCTACAACACCATCAGCAGGCAGAAAGCAAACACACATGGGGTTTGCGGTACAGGTGCGTATGAAGATGATGCTTTGATGCCGGCCAGC